GTTAGGATACTTGAAAAATTTTAACACATATCAGATTTTAATGACTCTAAAATAGTAATAGCCAAAAAGAGGAATGGTTTTAATTTACTGTGGCAATACTGTGTAATGTCGAGGGTATGGGCTTTGGAAGTCTGGCACATTGGGCTTGGGTCATGCCTACTCTGTTTACTGGGAAATCTTAAATATGTCACATAAATTCCCTAAATTCCCATTTCATGGTGTTAAATTGAGAGCAATAATAGAATACTGGTCAAGGTTCTCCAGAGAAACAGAACCAATGTTATGTAGATAGATAGATGGATAGATATGAATGAAGGAACTGGCTCATGCTATTTTAGGTAGAGAAGTCTCACAGTCTGCCATCTGCAAGCTGAAGATCCAAGAAAGCTGGTGGTGTAGTACTGTCAGAGTCCAGAGGCTTGAGAACCATGGAAGTTGATGGTATAGGTCACGTTCCAAGTACAAAGGCCCAAGAAATAGGAACACCAATGTGCAAGGACAGGAGAAGAGGGATGTCCCAGCCCAAAAGCAACTTTTTACTTCCTCTACCTTTTTGTTTTATTCAGGCCCTCAACAAATGAGATGATGCCCTCCCACATTAGTGAGGGTGACTTCTACTTAATCTACTGATTGAAATGCTAATCCCTTCCAGAAACACTCTCACAGACACACCCAGAGTAATGGTTTCCTAGCTATCTGCACATCCCTTAGCAAAGTCTAGTTGACATATACTATTAACCATCTTATAAAGAGTTTAACCTCATAGGTTAAAAAATCCTCAATGAGAATTACTCATTCAATAAAACTTCATCGAGTACTATGAAATAGTTCACACTTGAAGCAAAATAAGAAAGTAATCCAACAGACCTCCCTTTATCTAGAACTAAGATTTAATAAGCATTTGCAAAGCAGATCTGTGTATCCATTTTTAAGTTTCTGGATCTGTGGGCAAGTAGATTTTGGAGACTGAGAACTTGGAAGACAGGATTCTTGCCTGCCTTGTATGTGGTTATGATCTGGGACTTGGGGAAGTAGTCAGAGGCAGATGATTAATTACTTTAAAATTAATCATTGTATAACCTTCATTCCCAGGCCACAAATTGCCCTAGGCTGAATTATAATTCAAGATACCATACTTTTCTGTGTGTCAATCCTTTTCATTAGAGATAAAACACTAATCTATATTCTGATCTTAATCTATAGCAGGTAAATAACATGATGGTTTTTTTAAAATAAAAATATAATACATGCATGTGCTAAAAATTTTAAACTATTGAAATGATACTCCTTTTTATTAACAGTTAAGAGTTCCTTGCTTCTCCATCCATACTTTTTCTTTTTTGAAGTTATTTCGTTTTATGTTATTGTTTTAGAGACAGGATCTCGCTCTGTCACCTAGGCTGGAGTGCAGTGGCATGATCGTAGCTGACTACAGCCTCGAACTCCTGGGCTCACGTGATCTTCCTGCTCAGCATCCCTAGTAGCTAGGATTATAGGTGCATGCCATCACACCTGGCTAATTTTTTTTTGCTTTTCTTTTTTGTAGAGACAATGTCTCACTATGTTGCTGGTCTCACATTCCTGGCCTCAGCTGATTCTCCCACTTCAGCCTCACAAAGTGCTGAAATTACAGATGTAAACCACCCACCTTGAAATTATTTTGAAACTAGATTTAACTGACATGACTACACATGTCATAAACACCTTACAACTGTCAAATTATAATAATGTTCACAATTATTGAATGCATATTATATGTTAGTCAATTTTCTAAGCACTTTATATGCATTACTACCTTTAGTTTTCACAGAACAACTGATTTACAAGCTGTGTGACTTGAGAGAAGCTCTTTAACTTTTCTGAAGACCAGTATCTTCCTATGTAAAATAAAGGTAGCATTGCTATTCTTGCAGGGTTGATCTATGCACAATGCATTGTATGGTTTCTGGCACCTACTAGAGGCTTAATCATAGTGACTACAGCCTATTTCTCATACCTTTTTTCCATCTGAGTAACACATAAGACTAGGTTCCAATCTGATCACCTTAGCTTGTGTTGTAGAGGAAGGTCCTTACTGTTTGAATCTCTGGGTTTGGTTTATTTTGGATAAACATGTCTGGTGAGTATTAGATAAGTTTAATTATTTTGTGATTCCTGAACACACAGCTATTCAATTTTATAATTACTGCAAACACTAGATGGAGAGAGTTTTACTTTTAATTTTTTGTTCTTCCTTGAAAAAATCATTGTAATGTCTTTAGACCTGTAGGCACTACTAAGAAAGGGTAAGCCAAAATTTTTATTTGCTTATTTATTCACTCTCCAATTATGCTTTGAGAAAAAGCTGGTTGGATAATTCTTTTCTTCAGGCTAGGATATTAAATTATGTGGTCATAGACAAGCTCAAGTAGCAAAATCAGAGTCCCCGAAATTTGGATTTGAAACAAACAATCCATAACTCTCAGAATAATCCTCTAGAGCAGGGGTCCCCAACTCCGGGGCTGAGGACCTGCCTGCAGCCTGTGAGGAACTGGCCACACAGCAGGAGGTAAGTGGTGATCAGGCCAGCGAGCATTACTGCCTGAGTTTCACCTCCTGTCAGATTAGCGGCAGCATTAGATTCTCATAGGAGAGTGAACCCTATTGTTAACTGTGTGTGCAAAGGATCTAGGTTGCATGCTCCTTATGAGGATTTAACGCCTGATGATCTGAGGTGAAAAAGTTTTATCCTGAAAGCATCCCCCTGGCCCTGTCTATGATAAAATTGTCTTCCATGCAACCAGTCCTTGGTACCAACAAGGTTTGGGACTGCCACCCTAGAGATGCCATAATTATCCCACCCACTTCAGAAGGATCTCGAACTTACCATTAACCAGGTTGTACAAACCCCAGGTTGAGACATTGGAGATCTGTCAATAAGTTATTTTCTAATTTGTGGAACTTTCTCTATAAAAAGTCACAAAACTATAAATTTAACACCTATTATATTTTTATAAACCATGTTGAATGAATGTTATGCAAAAAGTCAGACACAAATTAGTAGAAAAGATAGAGAACTACAGTATGTGTAATGTCATTTTAATCATTTTATCTATATAGATAGATGAGGAAGGAAAAACCATTTTAGACAGAGTGACAACTGTCTGCAAAGGCATGGATGCCCCCTTTAAGGAACTCAAAAGTAATTCTATTTGGTTCTTAGGCACCTGCTGGGGGACCCTGTACACCATTCAAGATGCTTGGATTGGCCGGGCGCGGTGGCTCAAGCCTGTAATCCCAGCACTTTGGGAGGCCGAGGCGGGTGGATCACGAGGTCAGGAGATCGAGACTATCCTGGCTAACATGGTGAAACCCCGTCTCTACTAAAAATGCAAAAAACTAGCCGGGCGTGGTGGCGGGCGCCTGTAGTCTCAGCTACTTGGGAGGCTGAGGCGGCAGAATGGCGTGAACCCGGGAGGCGGAGCTTGCAGTGAGCCGAGATCCGGCCACTGCACTCCAGCCTGGGAGACACAGCGAGACTCCGTCTCAAAAAAAAAAAAAAAAAAAAAAAAAAAAGATGCTTGGATTTATTTGATAGCAATGGGGAATGGCTGATATATTCGAAAGCAGGAAAATGATTTGATTAAATTTACATTATACTATGATAAGTCTTTCTAGACTTATTGAATAAATTAGATAAATATTGAATTAAATTATGATAAAATATTAAATAAACTAATATTATAAAAATTAGATAATTATTTATAAAATTAAATTGAACTAGTAGATTGGAAAGGGGTTGGCCGAATGCCTCTCCCTCTTAACCCCTTGTTAGAAGAATGCTGAAACAGTTGGTATGAGGAATAATAAGCAATTCAGAGGTCGTCAGTGTTAGTGAGGACAAAGCAGAGGAGAAACAATCAGTAAACATTCTCCATATGAGGCCCTTGGTCCCACATAATTCAAATGATACTGACTGGAGAGATAGTTTAAGGAAATGGAATGGACAAGACTGAGAGGTCAATCATGGGAGGATGGAAAGAGCGTGGCAGAAGTTTATGGTCCTTAGCAAGGGCGTCTGGGGAAAGATGAGATTCAGCAGTATATAAAGAGTAGTTAGAATGAATAGGAATTTAGAAATTGCCCAAGGTAGAGTGGAAAAAGTTGGATCATGGAACCTGGCAGAGAATTTATCTTAATAAATAATTAATGTAGTTATTAATTAATTATTTAATTAATTAATAAGTAATGTATTTTAAGCCATGCAAGTCCCATGATAATGACCCACTAGGTGTTAACCTTAATTTGGATTACAAATCCCAGCATAATAGGCCCCTGGCTATTTTTCAGATTTCCTTTTTGTTTTATTTATTTTTTATTTTTTCGTAAGTTAGAGGGGGTACCGGTGGCATTTGGTTACGATTAAGTTCTTTAGTGGTGATATTGAAATTTTGGTGCACCCATCACCCAGGCAGTATACACTGCACCCTATTTGTAGTCTTATTCCTCATCCCCCTCCCACTCTTCCCAATAAGTTGCCAAAGTTCATTGTATCATTCTTATGCCTTTGCATCTTCATAGCTTAGCTCCCATGCATCAGTGAGAACATACAATGTTTGGTTTTCCAGTCCTGAGTTACTTCACTTAGAATAATAGTCTCCAATCTCATCCAGGTCACTGTAAATGCTGTTAGTTCATTCCTTTTTCTGTGTAGTATTCCATCATGTGTGTATACCAGTTTCTTTATCCACTCGTTGATTGATGGGCATTTGGGTTGGTTCCACAATTTTGCAATTGTGAATTGTGCTGCTATAAACATGTGTGTGCAAGTATCTTTTTCAAATAATTACTTCTTTTCCTCTGGGTAGATACTCAGTAGTGGGATTGCTGGATCAAATGGTAGTTCTACTCTTAGTTCTTTAAGGAATCGCCACACTGTTTTCCACAGTGGCTGTACTAGTTTACGTTCCCACCAACAGATTTTCTTTCCTCCACATCTCCTTCTCACCTTGTCTGTTCAACTACTGGCCTCCATCCTGCTTATAGAACATGCCAGGAATGCTTTTCCTCAGGGGGCTTTGCACTTGCTTTGTCCTCTGATGTAGACATCTTTCCCCCACTTGTTCTCAGGGCTCCCTCTCTTGTATAGTCCAACTCTCTGTCCACATTCTAGTTCCTCTGATAGAACACCCTTGGCATTCCTATGTAACCTAGGACCTCTGCCTCACAATCACCTGCCACACGTTTACCCAGCTTTATTTTTCAAAAGGACTTGGTGTTGATTTCGTAGGGATGCTGTAACAAAATACCACAATTGGGTAGCTTAAAACAACAGAAATAGATTCTCTGACAGTTCTGAAGGCCGGTGTTGTTAGAGCCATGCTCCTTCTGAGGACTCTAAAGAGGACGCCTTCCTATGTCTTCCTAGCTTCAGGAGGTTGTGGGCAATTCTTGGTGTTCCTTGGCTCGTTGCCACATCTCCATCTTCACATGACCTTCTTCCCTAGGTGTGTATATATGTTTGTGTGTGTGTGTGTGTCCCCTTGCCTCTTCCTCTAAGAACACTGGGACTCTGGTTTACGGTCTGTCATACTTCACCTTAACTTAACTAATTACATCTGCAAAGACCTTATTTCCCAATAAAGTCACAGTATGGTGCACCACGTGGATGTGAATTCTGGACACTATTCAACCACTGCAGACTTGTTTATATTTGATATTATGTAGATATATATTTATTTGTTTCACCCTACTAAAATGTTAATTCTGCAAGGGTTAAGAAATTAATCTCTTCTGTTCTTTGCTATATCTGCAGTGCTTTTGGATGCATAATCAATATCTGTTACACTGAGAAACTCTGTTTGACATATAATGTAAATAACAAATTTAAAAAACAAATTTGAAGATCCAAAACAATTTTGAAGATCCAAATTCCAAGACGTTTGGGATTATTTCTGCATCTCCTTTTGCATTTTATATTTAATGTTTTCATTTTTGTTACCTTCCTTTTTTCACCTTCTGTTAGAAAAATTGAATTTTATCTAAATCTATTTCCCTTTTCTTGTTTAGAAGTTAATTATTTATTGTAATCATGTCATAGCTCCCTTCAATTATAATAAACATTCCTACAAAATTCAATATTAATCAATACTTATATTATCCTCTCTCATAATACAATCTACTATACAAGTTCCAAATTAATATCCTAATAATTTTTATTCTTACAGTTAATGCTTATTGAAATTTGTTAACTGATATGAGATACTAGGCTTTTTTTAAAAAGTACAATTGTCTGTAAAGCAGGCAAACAAACAAAAAACACTTCGAGGTCAGCAAATACAAACCTAGATTCAAATATTTTCCTAAAACAAGACATGAATATGTAGATTTTTTTTCACTAGAGAGAGGAAAAATGTATGGTAGTCTAATGCAAAATAATGTTTTTTAACCCACAGATTTATCCATTTTGTTTGTTTATCTGTGCTTACTGCATTTTACTCTCTCCGCCTTCCAATCCTGTTATTCTAAAATGTGTTTTTAATGCAGCATATTTTAGTAAGAGCCTATGAAAACTGACCCAAAAATATCTTTATGCCACTCTCACTTTTGAAAGGTAATATATCTGGCTCCAGAATTCTGAGTTGACAGTTATTTTCCTCAGATTTGTGAAGATGTTAAGATATTATTTCATTGTCTTCTGGCATCTGCTGTTGCTGATGAAAAGCCCACTACCAGTGTATTTGTTGTACCCAGAATTAATTTTATATATATATACAGATTACATATATACATACACAGATATGGTATTAAATGATAACCATTTAATTCTGAGAACAACAGATACACTGTCAGTGGGATATATATATCTGTATCTATATCTATTTTTGGTTGTTTTTCTTGGATGTTCTGTACTTTTGTTTTGCTTTTAATGTTTTTCACGGTAAAAGTAGAATTTCTTTATATTTATCTTCCTAAGAACTCATGATTCATTAAGCTGGAGACACGTATCTTTTTCCAATACTAGAAATCTTCTCGTTTAAGTTTTATCAAGTATGAGCTTCTTGAATTCTCTGTTCTCTTCCTTTGATCTCCTCTTAGACATATGTTGGGCTTTCTTAATCTCCATCTCTCTCTTTTTGTTACTGATGTTTCATTTCTATCTTTTCTACAGTCATTATGGTATCATCAGATCTTTTTGTTTAAAAGATCTTTCGAAATTGGAATGTTATTTCAATATGAAATAACTTTTGGCTTAAATTTATTCTATTTAAATGTAAATATTTTTTATTACTGAAAGTTTTACTTTTAGATGTTTTTAAATTTGCTTGTTCTTTTTTAGATTATATAGTTACTTTTAAATTAAACACAAAATAATAAGAGCTATTTATGACAAACTCACAGCCAATATCATACTGAATGGGCAAAAACTGGAAAAAATCCCTTTGAAAACTGGCACAAGACAGGGATGCCCTCTCTCACCACTCCTATTCAACATAGTGTTGGAAGTTCTGGCTAGGGCAATCAGGCAAGAGAAAGAAATCAAGGGTATTCAGTTAGGAAAAGAAGAAGTCAAATTGTCCGTGTTTGCAGATGACATGATTGTATATTTAGAAAACCCCATTGTCTCAGACCAAAATCTCCTTAAGCTGATAAGCAACTTCAGCAAAGTCTCAGGATACAAAATTAATGTGCAAAAATCACAAGCATTCGTATACACCAGTAACAGACAAACAGAGAGCCAAATCATGAATGAACTTCCATTCACAATTGCTTCAAAGAGAATAAAATATCTAGGAATCCAACCTACAAGGGATGTAAAGGACCTCTTCAAGGAGAACTACAAACCACTGCTCAGTGAAATAAAAGAGGACACAAACAAATGGAAGAACATACCATGCTCATGGATAGGAAGAATCAATATCATGAAAATGGCCATACTGCCCAAGGTTATTTATAGATTCAATGCCATCCCCATCAAGCTACCAATGAGTTTCTTCACAGAATTGGAAAAAACTGCTTTAAAGTTCATATGGAACCAAAAAAGAGCCCACATCTCCAAGACAATCCTAAGTCAAAAGAACAAAGCTGGAGGCATCACGCTACCTGACTTCAAACTATACTACAAGGCTACAGTAACCAAAACAGCATGGTACTGGTACCAAAACAGAGATATAGACCAATGGAACAGAACAGAGTCCTCAGAAATAATACCACACATCTACAGCCATCTGATCTTTGACAAACCTGAGAGAAACAAGAAATGGGGAAAGGATTCCCTATTTAATAAATGGTGCTGGGAAAATTGGCTAGCCATAAGTAGAAAGCTGAAACTGGATCCTTTCCTTACTCCTTATACGAAAATTAATTCAAGATGGATTAGAGACTTAAATGTTAGACCTAATACCATAAAAACCCTAGAGGAAAACCTAGGTAGTACCATTCAGGACATAGGCATGGGCAAAGACTTCATGTCTAAAACACCAAAAGCAACGGCAGCAAAAGCCAAAATTGACAAATGGGATCTCATTAAACTAAAGAGCTTCTGCACAGCAAAAGAAACTACCATCAGAGTGAACAGGCAACCTACAGAATGGGAGAAAATTTTTGCAATCTACTCATCTGACAAAGGGCTAATATCCAGAACCTACAAAGAACTCAAACAAATTTACAAGAAAAAAACAAACAACCCCATCAAAAAGTGGGCAAAGGATATGAACAGACATTTCTCAAAAGAAGACATTCATACAGCCAACAGACACATGAAAAAATGCTCATCATCACTGCCATCAGAGAAATGCAAATCAAAACCACAATGAGATACCATCTCACACCAGTTAGAATGGCGATCATTCAAAAGTCAGGAAACAACAGGTGCTGGAGAGGATGTGGAGAAATAGGAACACTTTTACACTGTTGGTGGGATTGTAAACTAGCTCAACCATTATGGAAAACAGTATGACGATTCCTCAAGGATCTAGAACTAGATGTACCATATGACCCAGACATCCCATTACTGGGTATATACCCAAAGGATTATAAATCATGCTGCTATAAAGACACATGCACACGTATGTTTATTGCGGCACTATTCACAATAGCAAAGAGTTGGAATCAACCCAAATGTCCATCAGTGACAGACTGGATTAAGAAAATGTGGCACATATACACTATGGAATACTATGCAGCCATAAAAAAGGATGAGTTTGTGTCCTTTGTAGGGACATGGATGCAGCTGGAAACCATCATTCTTAGCAAACTATCACAAGAACAGAAAACCAAACATCGCATGTTCTCATTCATAGGTGGGAACTGAACAATGAGATCTCTTGGACTCGGGAAGGGGAACATCACACACCGGGGCCTATCATGGGGAGGGGGGAGGGAGGAGGGATTGCACTGGGAGTTATACCTGATGTAAATGACGAGTTGATGGGTGCTGACAAGTTGATGGGTGCAGCACAGCAACATGGCACAAGTATACATATGTAACAAACCTGCACGTTATGCACAAATACCCTAGAACTTAAAGTATAATAATAAAAAATAAAAAAATAATAAAAAAGTTCCTACTTTAATTTTATCACTTTAAATATATTTATTTAGAAGTTTTGTTGTTGTTGCTATTATTTACAATTCTTGAGACACTAATTCTCATATTCATTGTACCTGATAATCCTATCATAATAGCTTATTTTGTTACGTGGCTGTAATTCTTATTGTGCTTTCAAAATTTTTAATCAGTACCCCCTCCCAGTCATGGGGCCTATTGTAAGGAATTTCCTAATTGCTTCTATAGGAGCCTGCCTGTAGTTTTCAATGGTATTAGATTTTTTTTTTCTTTTTTCTTTTCTTTATTTTTTTTTGAAATGGAGTCTCACTCTGTTGCCCAGGCTGGAGTGCTGTTGCATGATCTCTGCTCACTGCAAGCTCCGCCGCCCGGGTTCACGCCATTCTCCTGCCTCAACCTCCCAAGTAGCTGGGACTACAGGCGCCACCAATCACGCCCAGCTAATTTGTATGTTTAGTAGAGATGGCATTTCACCGCATTAGCCAGGATGGTCTTGATTTCCTGACTTCGTGATCCACCTGCCTCAGCCTCCCAAAGTGCTGAGATTACAGGTGTGAGGCACTGTGCCCGGCCTCTTTTCTTAAAAAAAATTTTAATTTATGAGCTAATAGCTTAATCCTGAGCCTCAGTTTCTCACTGGTGCCTTTTGCTCACATCCGGTGCCCTTGGCAAAGTCGAGCTTCCTTGTGAATGTCCAGACCAGTGACCAGGATTTTCATGGAAGGGGAAACTCTTTGGGAATCTGGAATGTATGTAAGGGCTCTGCTTTCATGGACTTAAACCCATATTTCCTGTATCTCTTGAATAGCAGAAGCTTAGTTCGTATTGCCTACAATACACATCTTAGTCTAAAACCCCAAGGGCCTTTCCAGAATCAGCTCAGGTTTATCTTGCTGGCTTTACTTCTCTTTTTATGTCTGGAACCTACGAATTCGCATT